TGAGATGAGTAGCTATGGACCGTGCAAGAGCCTCAGAGGCGGCGCATCATACCGCTGTGCTGTGCTGTGCTGTTTCACCATCCACAGCTTGAGTACCACCGCCCTTGTTGCCGCCGCATACTTGATGTGTCTGTCTGGCAGCAAGTCAAGACTGCGACTGATCAGACCACACTCACGTAAAGATTGGCCAGAGCAGACCTATCAGAATCAAAAGTCTGATAATAAAAGTCTGTGAATTGTTGAGCGATCTGATCCATGCTTGCCATCTTTTCTGGTTCCTTCTCCTCTTTGCGGAGCAGCTTTGTGGGGGCAGTACCGATGGAATGTGGAAAGGTTGCGTTTGGAGCTCTCGAGAATGGAGATACGCGATGGAAATTGCGGTTGGAAGAGGGGGTGTTGCGTGTTGGAGTCTGGGTGACGAGTCGTGAGTTGTTGGTAGCTTCATGATTCGCAGTCACGTCTCGCACGTACGCATATATCCACAAATCACAAATCGTCAAATCGGCACGCAGCGCAGCAGGCGAATCGCGAATGAAGCGAGCGGCGCGCGCATCTCTCACTCAATTGCGATCGAGCTTGCATGCTAGCTGCAGCCAGCCATGCGCGCGCGGTCAGGGATCGACTTGCGCGCAAGAGCAGACGCAGACGCAGACGCCCCCGCGAGGGACGTGCAGACGAATGAACCATCTCGGGTCTCACAGATGCGTCACGTGTATGGTACGCCACGCCAAGATCCCAAACCATCACCATCACCCACACCCGACCCGCACACACAACAGATGCTTCTCGATTGTCAGAAGCAGAAGCAGAAGCAGAAGCAGAAGCAGAAGCGAACGACGTCGATCAAATCAGATCCATTCACACTCACGCCTCTCGACTTCGCAAGTACCGCGTGGCCGAGCAGGCGATTGATGCTGTTTCATCAGCTGTTCACGATCAGAATGCGCTACCGCATGTAGCGAGAGAATGAGGGGCACGGTCACGCTCAACTACATCAAGCACGTCGAGAAAATGTCATTATGAAAAAAAGTTGCCAAGTCGGCATATGCACAGCGCAAGTACGAATGATGGAAAGTGGTCGGAATGTATGAGATCACTTGATGCGATCGAGACGCTGGGTGCCTGATAACAAACAAAGCAGAGCATGCAGCGTAAAAGAGTGATCAGCAATGCACCTTTTATAGAGCTCGAGAGACAGGTTGCAAATTCCGAAACAAAAAACTCACTGTTGAAGACCTTGGTGTCGAGCGCGCTAGTCTTATCGCCCAGTCTACGAATGCGCGAGTTCTGATCATCGATTTCCGTTCCCATCGCACGACCGAGCTGGTTCAATCTTCCAGAAAGCTGACCAATCTCGTCCAAATTATTGTCAAGCTCATCCTCCAGCTCGTCATCGCTACCCGTAGCTTCGAACTGGTACCTGCTCCGTTGAGCCAACTTGTTTTTCTTGGCCTCTTCTTCCCTGGACGCAGCGCTCTTTCCACCCCCGAATCTGTCCGCGGCGAATTTGCCAAATCTGCCAGAACCCGGACCGCCCAGAGATTGATCCATGCGATTCTGTGCGCGCAACGCTTCGGCACGCGTCGCCTCGCGTTCTTCTCGCTCTTCAATGTGCCTGTTCAGGATGCGAGCTTCTTCGGCATTTCGCTTGGCTTCCTTGTTGAAGCCAACATTGGGCCTGAAAATGGAGCGGTTGAGGCGCATCATCTCTTTGGCATTGTCGTCTGCTCTGGAAGAGTGAGCCTTGGCCATGTCGAGATGGCGCTCCGTGTTGGCAATTTGGTCTGGCACAACATTCGAATTAGCCACATCGCAAAGCCACGCTTGGCAGTCACCTCCTGCAATTCGCCCTTCCAGTATTGTTACTCACCGCTCTGCTGTCCGAGTCGCAAAATGGTCCCCGAAGCAGTCTCTTCTGCCTCGCGTGCAATCCTGAGTGCGTTCCTCGTCGAGCTGAGAGATTCCTGCTTTGTGAATCTCATCTGTTGCTTGACCGCTTCCACTTCTTCCTCTTCCTCCTCTTCAGCAGTTCTCTGTCGAGCTTCTTCCTGATACTCTTGTTGCTGATATCCACCCGAACCAGCGCCATACTCAGCTTCCAACTCGCTCGCATCATCTCGTCCTGCTCCACTTCTTGCTCCAGAGTACGCTTGATTGCGATTCGAGCCGTACATGCGGTCAAAGTCTGAGCCAAGATTAGAGCTGGGTGCACGTGCACCTGCGAATCTGTCCTGAGGTGGGGCATAGGCGTCTCTACCGTACCCTGCTGCGCCTGCACCGCCCTGATTGTAGCCTGCTGCTCCTCCGTATCCACCAGGCTGAGGTCCACCATACCGGCCTGCAGGTGCACCCGGTCCGCCAGCTTGAGGGGGACCTCCTCGATATCCAGCACCACCCGCAGCTCCTCCAGTAGAGCCTGGCGGTGCGCCATAGTATCCACCTTTAAACGGCCCATTCACGGGGTCCACCTCGGGAGGAGGTGGGATCTTGTTGCTTGAAGACTAGCACAGAAAAGAGCGAATGCGATCATGCGTGAGACGCCGTCCCGCTTCAAATCGTAAGCATTGTGACCGAGCAGGACATACCTTTTTGAACAGTGGCATTTTGACCGAGGTGAAGCAGTGCTAAGGCAGAAAGCTGTTGAGATGGGCGCTAGTGAGTACGCTCAATGCGGTGGTGTGTGGACCAAGATTTGGTGCCGATGAGCCAGCAAGCCAAGATTGTGTCCCGATTTGGATGGTGATGAAGAGGAGGAGAGTTGTGGAGAGAAGATGAGCTAGAGGAGAGTGCTAGCCAAGATTCACCAGTCACCATGCAGTCAC